ATGGAGTATACCATGACGCGCAGTCAAAACTGTCACCAACATCCTCACGACATTGGGGTCTGCAACGTATTCCGCGGATTCGAGGGTCGAGTCCTCAGAGGAGGGAGAACACGTCTCAGACATTTGAGAGCAGATGGAGGCAGCTGCTTCCTCGTATACTCGAGGGTTTATATTTCTGGTGTATCGATATACTTTGGTGGAGATTACTGCGCCATCGCGTCCTCCCTGTGCCATCGCGTCCTCCCTGCGCCATCGCGTCCTCCCTGCGCCATCGCGTCCTCCCTGCGCCATCGCATCCCGTCATCCAAGACGCCGTTGACTTGCTAACCATATATGGAATCATTTGCTTCATTGCGTCCTGTCATCACAGCGCCATGCGTTCCTGGCCATATTCAGTAATCACCATCATATCACATAAAGTTTGTCTAATTCATTCGTCAGAGTTCGTGGGCTGATCGCTTCGTGCCCATGTCCAGTTACACCTGCGTTTGTAAGCGCTCTTTTACTGCACAGAATTATTACACTCAACACCAGCGCTCATGTACGGCCACGAAAAAACGTCTATCGTCGGCGATCTCGTCTTTCAAGGACTTCGTTGGTCGCAAGAAAAAGCCACGGATCTCAAAGGAGGCAACCGTTGCTGTTAACGATACATCAACTACTTTGCCTACCGTTGAAGCCGATGCTTCACCACATTCCGATTTGGCACATCTATCCCTCCATCATCCAGCAGAGGTTGAATATGATGAATTGGGACCAAGCCCTCTCGATATCGGAGAGGACCTGAGTTTAGCACAACGCAGGCCGAGGCGTCAGAATCGACAGCTGCCTCTGAGATTCAGGGACGTGCTTCCCCAACCCCCACCTACGGTTCCTGTTGAACTTGGGGATCAAATTCCTGAATGTGTTGGACGTCTTGTTGATGCAGCAGTCCAGCCAATGTTACCTGTGCGCACGGTATTTCGCACACCCCCAAACATTTTCGGCCTCGTTCGCCAATATTTCTCTGCAACACCACCATCGCATGATCCGGAAGAGTATGTCACGATGACAGACCTCTCGTTCATATCTAGCACCTCTCAAGTCATCGAGACGACTCAGCAACCTTCTAGCCATGCTTACTACCCTTATCCTAATCGATCGTCCTTTCAGCTTGGTGACTGGTATTGGAATCGGGGGTTGCAAAAGTCGCAACGCGACTATAAAGACCTGCTGGAGATTTTGGGCAGTCCTTCTTTTAACGCTGCCGACGTGAGCTCCACAAAATGGAAGAACATCAATTCTGTTCTAGGCTCAAATGAGTACGATGAGGGAGACGGAGAAGAATGGGAGGATGAGGATGCTGGATGGCGTAGAAGCCCGATCTCCATCAAGGTGCCTTCGTCACGCACCACCGAAAATCCAGGCTCTCGTACTTATGAAGCAGCTGCCCATTTATATCATCGGTCCCTTGTCGCTGTCTTGAGGGAGAAGCTTGCTAATCCCCGAGATGACAAACTGTTTCATTACGAGCCATATCAGTTGCGTTGGACGCCTCCCCACTTAAACGTCGAAGTCTCAATATACGGTGACCTGTACACGTCACCGGCATTTTACGAAGCCCATACCGCACTGCAAGAAATGCCCGCAGAACCTGGCTGTGAATTACCTCGGGTCGTTGCTGGCCTCATGTTTTGGTCCGACGCCACACAGCTTACTTCGTTCGGCAATTCTAAGTTGTGGCCTACCTATATGTATTTTGGCAACGAGTCGAAGTATCGGCGATGCAAGCCATCGTGCAATCTGAGCAATCACGTGGCGTATTTCGAGACGGTATGTCTTTTCATTGTTGGCTGTACTGTATAACTTACATATGTATTGCATTTGCAGCTTCCAGATTCGTTCAAGGATTTTACAGGTGGGAATGGCATGACTAGTGACTGCGCGACACACTGTCACAGAGAATTCTTCCACGAACAGTGGAAGATCTTGCTAGACCACGAGTTCCTCGAGGCGTATGAGCACGGTATCGTGATCTCCTGCTGTGATGGTCTCAAGCGCAGATTCTACCCGAGAATCTTTACTTACTCAGCAGACTATCCAGAAAAGTACGTGACTTTGAGCGAGATGAATATCTTTATTTATTATTTCATCAGAGTACTTATTGCTACGGTTCGAAACTTAGGAGGATGTCCATGCCCTCGATGCCTTATACGAAAGGATCGGATCCAGAACATGGGAATGCGTCAGGATAGACAACAACGCACGACTCTGGAACCCGACTCGAGAAGACAAGTTCTGGTAAGTTCTGCCCGCAAATTGATTTACGAGGAGGACTACGCTGTAGGCAGCGTCCCGGTGGAACGTATTCTCAAACCCCAGTCTTGGGTCCCTACCTCAGTAAGCCTTGAATGTTCGTCGCGAACACTGGCTGAACAATCCCTCAGAATGCATTTTCAGATCGCCTTGGTCCTCTCGGGTTTAATATATTTCGCGCACTTGTAGTCGATCTGTTACACGAGTTTGAGATTGGCGTTTGGAAGGCGCTTTTCATTCACCTGTTACGCGTCATCTGCGCGGAGGACAAAGGCCTTATCCATGAATTAGACAGGAGGTATATTATATATTTCAGCATACTCGCCGCATTCAACTGATTTTTACAAGATACAGACAGACTCCAACATTCGGGCAAGCTACCATTCGCAAGTTTTCTTCCAACTCTTCCGAGATGAAACGAATGGCGGCTCGGGATTTTGAAGACCTCCTCCAGGTGGGATTTAAGTTTTATCGATATCGGATAGAGCTGATCCAATGTGCAGTGTTCTATACCTGTCTTCGACCGTCTCCTTCCCGAGCCACACAATGTAAGAGTTCTTAAGTTACTATTTACAATGGCACATTGGCACGGACTGGCCAAGCTCCGAATGCACTCGGATTTGACTCTTGACATCATGGACGAGTTGACTTCGTCAGTCGGCCGACAATTCCGCGAATTCAAAGCGACAGTTGGCTCTGCTTATGATACCCGCGAACTTCGTCAAGAGACATTGGCTCGCACTCGACGCCAAGCTACACAGGCGCTCAAACGAACGGGAGTTCAGAAGGTCAAGGGTACCACTCGTGTTATTCAACAAGGGAACTTGGCTGAGTCAGATCATGCTGCCAAAAGTGTGCAGCGTACGAAGGTCTTCAATTTTCAGACTTACAAGTTTCACGCCTTAGGAGATTATGTATCAACAATCCGGCAGTATGGTACTTGTGATTCGTACAGCACCGAACCGGTCCGTCCCCTGCCAATATATACATTCCACTCACTCACTTCCCCAGGGTGAACTGGAGCACCGTTCACCCAAGGCTAGATATAAGCGCACAGATCGGAGGGCCTTTGTCAAACAGCTCACTCAGATCGAACGCCGGCAGGTTCGCATTCGCCGGATAGGTGACAAACTTACTCATCGCCCCCAAACCGAAATCACCGAACTAGCAACAAATCCGCACGTTCACCATCACATTGGCATGACGCAAAAGTACCCAGTCCATATTGGGTCATACTTGCGCAGTCATAAAGGTGATCCGGCAATAAAGGTTAGTTCATTCTCGATTCCGCAAACGCCTACTCACTTCTGCAGAATTTCGTGCCAAAACTTAAGGAGCATTTACTGCGTCGTATCAACATCTCAAGAAATCTCCCAGAATCTGATCATTCCAACTCTATTATCCTCAAAGACGACCGAATGTACCACCATAACATCATTAGGGTGAATTACACCACATACGATGTTCGTCGCGCGCAAGATGTCATTAACCCGCGTACATCCCATTGCAACATCATGGTGTTACGCCCCAACAATGATATGGAGCCCCAGGATCACAGATTTTCTTACGGTAAGGTACTAGGCATCTATCATGTAAATGTAATTGTCGTCGGAGTCGATATGGTGGACTATACTCCCTTGCGGATGGAGTTTCTATGGATCCGCTGGTACGAGCCTATGCAGCAGCTCTGCTCCTGGGACGATTCCACCCTCGATCGAGTCAAATTTCAGTCCCTGGAGGACGAGTACTCAGTTGATTTTTTGGATCCAGCTGATATCCTTAGGGGATGCCACGTTGTTCCTTCGTTCGCTAGCCGCAGGAAACATCCTGATGGCTTGGGAGTGTCAGGGTCTGCGCAGGACAAGGACGATTGGCGTGAATACTACATCAATCGGTGAGTAGTGATCCCGCTTCACATGACGCTTAGGGAGCTTATGATCTCAGGTTCGTGGACCGCGACATGATGATGCGGTTTCACTTCGGTTTAGGTGTAGGACACGTGTTCTCTCATAACTGCGCTCCGCAGGTCCAGGCTGCCCCCACAGATGATATCACACACGTCTTAGAAGCTGAAAGCGGAGATGAAGAGGAAGTAGGCGATGTTAGTGACTCTGACAGGGGTGATGATTCTCACCCAATGGGTGACTCCACCGAGCGTTTCGGCAGCAGCACTGAGTCACTCTTGGGCGAATTTGAAGAGATGTATGACTCTGAAGTAGAACTTGATTACGAGAACTAGTAAATTTTCCGAATATTACTCAAGTTTAGGACTACATGATCACGGCGCCGTAGGGAAATATAGCCCTGGTGAGCCATTGGGATGGCGTATCTCAATCCAACCCAGGAACCATCGATGGATGTAGAGGGTTGTTACTAAAGCTTATGTTGAGAACGCCGTCCCTACCAGAAGGGGGATACATGTAATGGAACCGCGACCTGAATATTATGTATAACGCACTCCAATAGCCCCGGTTGAACTACAACGCACTCGCAGCAGAGGCCTCGTGACAAGAATATGGTTTCATCAGGTGAATACGTAATCTTCTGTCGATGGCGCTCTGACCGCCCATCGATAGTAAATGCCTCATGGTCACAAGCGATATAACCGGATAAGTGCATGTCTAATGACTAACGATGGCCACCAGGGTATACAATTCTCTTTAAATACGGTCCATACCTCATATTCAGCCATCAGCTTTTCGATCATGGAGAACTTAGAGCCCAACGTAGATTTCTTAGCAGGACTCGAGCATGAGTCATATCTTTATGACACCCAGCTCTCTGCCTTGACCATGTTGACCGTGAGTCGTCTCCTTACCTTGCAAATCCCGCACGTTCCTCATGTGTTCCATTGCTGGCAGGGTTTTCCTACTTTCAACATTGACTTCATCGGATATCTATCCCTTGGCTCCCGGCCAACGCTGTTTCCCCTTTATGTGAGTATCTATATACCCCTCCAGATTCATTCTACATCTTAAAATGAGTGCAGAGCCCGCCCAACGGTCAACTTCCTGTAATAATTCTATTTCATGGGTTTCAATATATTGATCTCCTCCCAGCTCAAGGGGTTTCTCTCTCTTATCGCCTACGTGGTGATGCCCGTCGTACATTTATCCGTTTTTGAAGATTCCCAGAGTAACGAAGTCCCTGTTTTCGTCCTTGCCGTATGTTCGCCCCCGACTGCACCATACCTTCCGCTGATCAGTCGTGTAGAATCGTGAAGACATCCCGCCACCCTTGAATCTACCGTGGGTGCAGGCCAAGACAGGCATCGACACAATGATGCACGGAGTATATCATCATGTAAGTCCGCTTTATAACAGTATGAATTTCTCGAGCTACCATTTCGTAGGACGGAGTTGCCCGCGAGCACGAGGAGCCGACAATCATTCACCATGCGACGTTCCCTATGGGCTTCAGCTCCCTCAATCCTGACGTTGACTATCCGGTTGGCTTTCCGACGTGTGACATTGACCTTTTGTCCCTATCGGATGCTTTCGGGCAAGGTCATTCCGCCCAAGATTCCTCAGTCCCCTTGTCCTGGATGGGCTCTACCGCCAATGTGATGTCAGCTGGCCCTAGTAGTGTTTCCGGCACGATTCCCGCAGACGCACAAGCGCGACCCAAAAAGAAGGCTGCAGCGGCTCAATTGAGCCTTCATGAGATTATGAAGGCGTGCCCCAAATGGCGAAGGGCCCTTGCGTATCTCCGGCTCATGCTCCGCGTCGTGATTTGTCTTGGTCGAACAGAATCTCCTCATCTTCTTATCACTAGTGAGTATGCCGAACGTAGATGCCAGCTTATCCGTACGATCTGGCCCGAATGCCTCATCAAGGCAGATGTCGCTGCTGAAGAGTTGGAAACCGGTCTGCATCTTAATTTCTAGATATCTGCAGCTGCTGATTCTTCTCCAGTTTTGACCGCAGTAACCAAGTTGCCCATATCGCACAACGACGTGTTGCTCATGGTACGCGTCATTTTTGTTTTTATTCACTAGTCTAATTTCAGTATAGGCGAGTCCATGGTTATCGCAGTTTCTTTATGATACTAGGCGAGTAGCAGCACATTCCTTGGACGACCCTCGCGCCGGTTTTGGCCTTGGAAGTGATGTACTGTGGGGCATAGCCCTAAGGGAGAAGATTCTGGGCCTTTTGCGAATGTTTACTCGCCCTTACGCGCATATGCTCCCCATCGCAGTAAGTTCCAGTGAATTTATTTCTTACATTGTCGAACCTTATTTTGCATTTAGGCCAACGGTTTCGTAGTCTTTACAAGGGAGCAGATTGCAAAGGAAATCATGTATCATCTCGCCTTCCGTACCACCACCACATGTCGAATCAGACTCGTTATGGCTGATCTCGACCCCGCGGCGTTCAGGCATGCCCCACACCCTCCCATAGATACACTTGCATTACTGGGGTCCACCGTAAGCGCCTTCGACTCTCCTGGCGAGCACTTTTTTACTTTTATTTTCAGTGTTACAATGCCCTGATGATAAAGCTGATCAGCATTTGGGAGATATCTGACGTCATGCCTCCCTTTCCGACCGTCAGCCAGGTGCATCAAGAACTGCGCGAAACCGCTTTCATGTTGCTGCATCAGCAGAACGATCCAGATTTTGTCACACTCATGAGTGACTTCCGCAGGCTTTGCACCATTATGTGAGTTCACATGTGCATCCGTACTGCTGCTGATGCCTAACGTGATGTACAGTGAGGCCGATGTTTGCCGCATCGGAAGGCCGAACAATTCTACAGCTACTTCTTTGTCTGCTATGACTTGATTTCGTATTCTGTGTCTCATCTGTATTTTGAAATATACGTTGGTTGGCTGCAAACTTTGTGACAGTTGAAACGGCTTCCGCCATAGTCAACGCCAAGTTGCGCAAATGAATTGGTACGCTGAGTTATAATTATTATTTAATTTGTGTATTCAATTAAACCTTCTATTATTTTAGAGTTTGATCGCCATCGGCTGGCCATGATGCCATCGCTTCGAAATACATTTTATTAATAGTCAGTTGGCCATCAGTTGGCCATCCTTTCCCAATCTTCTGTATAGGTTGTGTAAGTATCGAACAATCGTGAGAACGCCCTGCGAGTCTCTTTTCTTCCACTTCAATATGTTCGATATTTGTTCACGTTTTCTTTCTACATGGGATAGACATCCGAAATGTCACTTTCTTGGAAATGACCAGAGCGAGGCGGCCCTCGTGGCATGGCTCCGGAAACAGGGACGTGCCGACGTTAGTACGCTCACAACCTTCTTATATTTTTTCTGACTTTTCCTCCAGCTTCCAGACTCCCTCCTTGTCACAGCTTCAGTGCTGTTTGGTTGGGTCGACTCCCACGATCTTATGGCTTTCCTTGATGTGAGCCTTAAGGAGGTCGCGATGCAGGAGATACTCCAGCAAGAAGAGCATATAATATTATTTGCGGGAGGAGGACGATGTCTGATGCAGGACAGAATGCTCCGAGCCCAGATGGAAGTCTCGTTGTTTAGCAATGCTATTTCTAATGCGTGCGAAGAGCTGGAGACTAGGTCTCACCCAGACGCTCACACACGTAAGTAAAACTGTTCAAAGGATAGTGACAACACTTAATTTTGTTTTTAGTTGGTCTAAAGCAGCCGGTCACAGTGAACGCTGTCGAGAACGCGGGAGCACGCTCGGCGCCTAGCTTGGTTAGATTGGGCTGCTTCCAGCCTTCGAGTCACATCACAGAAAAGTGCAAAGCATGGCTCCTCGCGTCGTCGTCTTTCCAAGACACTACTACGAAAGTTGAATCTAATGTCAGCCGCAAAATTGATTTTCCACAGACTCTAGAAATCGAATACTCCCCGATCGTGAGTGCTATCACTATGCTACGGGACCTTGTATTCTGATGCTATGTAGTCCAAAGATATATTTCTTTCCCTGCCACGTTTTCTGAAAGCTTGGGTGGATCACATCACATATCGTACATATGTGAACGCGTCTCTTGCAGAGAGCAAGCCCCCGTACCTCAATAACAGGCACGGCTTCAAAGCCAAAGAGTCCAAAAGTCTGGACCAGCTTAGGTCCGATATTCATATTCTGGACCTGAAGAAGCACCGCGCACAGACAGAAGTGGATATGCTGTCTGAAGCCCTATCACGCATTGCTGAGTCCGAGGGCACCGAGTCTGATGGTGAGCGTGCAGCCCTTGCTTCTGTTCTCATACTAAGATTTCTGCAGGTTCTTCTGGGAGTGCTGTGACGTATGGACATAACAATGATTGGTCTGATGATTGGTTTTCGTCTTCATATGCCTCTTCCAATGTCTCTTTACTGATGTAATCTTCTCGATTGTAGTTGTGTTATCGGTTTGTAGCCCTGACTCCTCCCTGATCGTAGTTTGGGACATTTCTTTAACGTTGTATCGATATTTTTCTATTTAAGCTAGTTGTACGTCAGATTGGATCTATGTCAATTGTGCTACTTCTCTATGTCTCTGATAGTCAATTACCATTCGCTCGGCAGTACCCATCATGAAATAGTATCGAAACTTTCAGCCTTCATATCAAGATTGAGGTGATCTAGTACTATGTGATCGGTCGCCCTGCACGCCAGCTTATTTCCAAGGTAATTTGCACATCACTGCGGTCTCAACCAGTTGCGTTCGATACTAGGTGCTACCACTTAAATCTCAATCACCAAGTGCAATTTATTGTCATACTGTATTTTAATTGTCGTAAAATTGTCATTACATATGAAAATTATATCCTCGTTGATTTCTGATGGCGCCTGGCCATCGCATTATAAGACATTGTCAATTCATCGTCACAATTGCGGTTTTCGCAGGCATATAGCTAACCTGAACAAAGTGTTGCGACATGCTATAAATTTGATGATCTACAGCCAGCTGATTGCAGTCTATGGAGGTTACTAGTCACATTGATATCTACTTATAAGATATATATCAAAATGAGATATACATAGCATAGTCATGTATTCTTTCATACATATGTTGCATACTTATAAGATGTGTGTCAAAATGAAATCTTCCTAGCAAAGTCATATATTCCCTCGTATATATGTTGCACAAAGATAATGACTTGCAATTCTAGATCTAGATGCATCATAATGAGTCCAATTTGTCAGCTCTGCCTGGTCACTTGTCACATTGATATCTACTTATAAAATGCATAACAAAATGAGATATACCTAGCATAGTCATGCAGTCTTTCATACATATGTTGCATACTTATAAGATGTGTGTCAAAATGAAATCTTCCTAGCAAAGTCATATATTCCCTCGTATATATGTTGCACAAAGATAATGACTTGCAATTCTAGATCTAGATGCATCATAATGAGTCCAATTTGTCAGCTCTGCCTGGTCACTTGTCACATTGATATCTACTTATAAAATGCATAACAAAATGAGATTTACCTAGCATAATCATGCAGTCTTTCATACATATGTTGCATACTTATAAGAGGTGTGTCAAAATGAAATCTTCCTAGCAAAGTCATATATTCCCTCGTATATATGTTGCACAAAGATAATGACTTGCAATTCTAGATCTAGATGCATCATAATGAGTCCAATTTGTCAGCTCTGCCTGGTCACTTGTCACATTGATATCTACTTATAAAATGCATAACAAAATGAGATTTACCTAGCATAGTCATGCAGTCTTTCATACATATGTTGCATACTTATAAGAGGTGTGTCAAAATGAAATCTTCCTAGCAAAGTCATATATTCTCTCGTATATATGTTGCACAAGGATAATAATGTGCAATTCTAAATCTAGATGCATCATAATGAGTTCTATTTGTCAGCACTACCCGGTCATATCAACTTAGGGTTGATTTACTGATGAGAGCGGCGTGCTCGAAGATGTTATTCTTCTCGTCAAAGAAAGGACAGGTGCCCGGATCCGCTATCCACCCACCACGGGCATGATTGTCACGAAAATCAAAGGCCAATGCATCACTCTAACCGGCGTCGTGTTTTTGGAATTGAAGACCGGGGGAGTGTCCGGTATGAGATAAGCCTGAGAGACCACAAAACAAACTTGGTAGTGGTTCGGCATCGTGCATGATGCATCAAGCCTTCTACAGTGAAAGGTGAACGAAAAACATGACTTCTGCGTATTCTCATACCACAATATTCTCCCCTGCGTAAAGCCTGGTCCTGCGCAGCATCAGGAGAAGACTTCCTTACAAAAGTCATTCGAATGATCGGATGCTGCGATTCGTCTATGAAAAGGCGAGACTCCATGAGAGATTGTGTTCACCTGTGTTAATCATTTGATTTTCGATGTACGTACCACATATCAGAAGCCCTGCGTTATATTACTCCCGGGATTATAAATTCAAGGCTTTTTTTTGAATACTTAACGTGCAAGTTACCTCGCAACACCCAACCCCTCCTCCAAAAACTCTGCGAACGCACGTCCCACGGCGTCCTCTCCCCACTCCACCCTCCCTTTTTCCGTGCTTCCCAGTGTCACAGCTTTCCGGCGCGCAGCCACGAATTGGCGCTTGAGCCGTTGCAGCTCTGACAGCGTCAGTGCACGATGCGGGAGTGTTAAGCGAACGCGGAGCACAGAGCTATCATTGGCACTGGTATTCGAACTAGGCTCAAGCGTATCGATGGTGAGGACGATAGGACCCCCGAGCGGGCCAGCAGCCTGAGCAGCCATGAGCGCAGAAACCAGTGCATTTGTCGTATGCTCCAGAGTGCGGAGGGCGTCTGTGGGTGCTTTGGGTGTGATTTGGGTGCCGACATTTGGAGGTTTGATGATGCCAGTTGTGACTGCATCTGATATGCGTTCGAGTGGAGGTGTTGGGTCGTCCCAAGGTATGGTGAAGAGTGGGGCGTCCCAGCGGACCATGGATGAGGGCTCTTCAAAGCGTTGGATGAGGGCGTCGAGGCTGTTTTGAAGTTAGAATAGGTGGGGAGATAGAGAGGGAAAAGACGGACGTTTGAGGTTTATATCTCTTCCTATCTCCTCGTTCGTCGTTCCATTTCCGACATTGATCAGGCGTAGCGAGTACATATACCTACTTCTCTCACCTGCATTAGTTGTGCGAGTGAAAATATCGTGGTCCATGACACACTGTAGCGACCCTTACGCCAGCCTCTCGGGCCTTGCAATACAGTTGGTATCTGAACCCCTTGATGTAGTTCATCCCATCTACGATGAGGATCGTGTCTTTGGCGATGTGCCTTGTGATAGCGGTGAAGAGAGTTGCGCGGGCGATCTTCTCTTGAAGGGAGTCTAATTTTCGAAGATCAGTCTGAAGGGAAGGAAAAAGATGGGATAATATGTACCATCATATGACATGCGGCCAACGGCCAAGTCATCATCTGAGATAACTTTTACTTTGAGCTGCGGGCTTGAAGCTGATGAGAGAAAGTCGTAGATTTGGGCTGTGCGGGTTGATTTTCCAGAGGAGGGGTAGCCTGAGATGGTGATGAGGGCCATTGAATGAGCCGAAGACTCAGATCCAGAATGTCAGAGATTTAGTCAGTCTGGAATTGGTCTGGGCTTGCCGCTTACTAAGTCTGCGACGGCAGCCAACGGCACTAGCCGATCAGCAGAGTTTATTATTAATAAGTTATTGTAAGAAGAAAACTCGTACATCAGTGAATTCATGAGTCCTCGATATTGTGGCCGTGTGAATTATAGAGGAATATAATTCTGCGCCTGCTAAATATAACTATTTATACAGCAAAAAAATTGAGTTGTCGATACATGACCATGTATGCCTGTAAATGTAGATTACATTGAAGAATTCATGACAAGATCGCGACTTTTCACCATTGTGCCCGGGCAGGGATAGAAGTGTGTTTATGTTAACCTCGTCGGGTATTCTCGTTTTCGGTTATTAGTGTGTTGAGCTACAAGGCTATTGAAGGGTTTATCGTGGAAAGTGGCGTTAACACCGGTCATCAAGTCTAGATAGGCATACGAGTTTGCAGGGAGGTTGAGATATTGCGCTATCAGCTTAGTTATGTTCTGCTTGTTAAGTAATCTCATTCTCTTTGAATAGTCTCATTCTCCATAATGAATGCTTTGGATTGTCAAGCTATTTAAGGCTATCTACACTGCAACGAATTGAGTCGTTGGTACATAGCTATGGATGCAAAAGAATGTAGACTACAATGAGGGAATCCATACAAAATTCGTGACACGGCACAATCATAGATAGTAAAGGATGCTTCGTGCCCACGTACTAGTCTCCTTAAACTGGCCTAACAGAAATATATTACAGTCATTACATTTCAATATATATGAACAACGGTGCCTATACTTTAGCACGGCGCAAGGATTCAAACTCAACGTTGCTAAAGTTCTAAGGTCAGCGCAGGGAGAACGTCCCAAAGACCAACCGTACGGCGCAAAAAGGTACGGCCCAAAGTGCGGCGGATTCGGCAGATAACAAAGAGCCAACATGTCGAAACAGTCGAACCACCTTCTTCAAAGTACATACGTCACGCGCGCTTATAGACTCCCCTGCGATAATTTTGCAAAAACTATATACAAAAAGCGTGTATATGTCAGCAATAATGCATGTATCCTAAAAACTATATGGCTCCCGTCGTCTGATGCACTTGGACTGTGGTCTCTTCCATTCCCCTTTGTTTGGGCCTGGCCATAATGAACCACTGTCCCATTGAGCTTGAAGTGGTGCGCTGGCTGATGGGAACCCAAAGGGCCAAGTAGGCAAATAGCACATCTCCTATACGACAAGGTCAGTCATTTCGCAAACAAGTAACTTGATTTTTTTGTTACCTCGAAACCACATGCCGGTCGGCACTTCACCCACACGCTCCAGTCCAACCAGGAGATTAAATGCGTCACATCCTCCTTCCATTTGCCCGTGAGAGTATGTATGTGATCGACTTCAGGGCGTCGTTCCGGAGGATAAAAGGCGTCGACTCCAAAATTCATTCCGGAAGCTCACATCTTCGTGACGACGCGGCATATCTCATGTGTAGTTTCCCGCACCGCCTGCAGGAGCAAACGTTCGGAAGGCGTTAATGTTGTGCCACGAGACGCTATGGAGGCCGCGTGAGATGTAGCACATTCCCGAAAAACTGGCGCGGCCCAAGAATTTGTCACGTTGGCGGTGACGGAGGTATTGGGAGGCAGAGCTGTAAATACGGTGTAGGGCAAAAGCACGGTGCGCAACTGTCTCTGAATTTGTTGTGCATGGTCAAAGATCGACCCATCGTCCAACGTCAGGTTCAAAAGGCGCTGTATAAACTCCAGGCGGCTGGCATATCGATCGACCACCACGCGCAAGACCGTTTTCCAGTCAATGCCGCCAGTGGTCGCGGGTGGTCGTGCTAACGCTTGAGCTAGCCTGTCTTGGACGCGCTCTAAATCCTCCGGTGATATTCCTGCCACTCGGTGATCCCACCGGTCCAAGCCCACACGGCGTGGCACTAAGGAGGGAACAAGAGCGGTGTCGTAGAAATGATGAGTCGCAACCCATCTGATTGAAGTTTCAAACATACCAATACGATGACGGGTATTTGCCCAGTGTTGAAGCAAGGAATTGGCCGTTTCAAACACCAGATGTCCTGTCGCGTTCACCGCAGGTCCTTCATCAAGGTTCCATTGTCCAAGATCACTTTCGACCCCCGGGTAAAAGGATGAAGGCGTATTGTCTTCCAGTTATCAGATGATCTAAGTCGAGGGGCTTTGAGTGTTCCCTGCCAGTATGAATAATTGTGGGTCTTGTGGGCCGTACTGTTCTGAGCCGTACGGTTGAATTTGGTGACTTTTACAGCGCGGGAGTAGCCGCTGCACCTTTGATTATGTAATACAACTCATGTCGAATAATTTGAAGGAAATCAGCGTTACAGGCTGCGTGATACTTTGAGGCTTACATATTTCATCTGGAACGGTCCATGGACTGCGGGCGTACTCACACGCTTAAAAAGGACATCGACGCTATCGATTTCCACCTCTTGGATATCATCAAATGTCAAGTAATACTAGCAGTCCAATCGAAACACTTACATGCTCTGGAATCGCAAAATACGGTAAGTGATTCGTCGTAAAATTCGATTACGCGGGCTAAATCCTGAGTCGATGATTAGTGCTGCTGTAATCTGGATGGAGATGGACGCACAGAGAAGGGCGGTAGGGAGAAGGGTGACGGAGAGGAGGGTGACGGAGAGAAGAACGACACAGAGGAAGAAGATGGAGATCGTGCGGAGACCCGTACAAGAAGCCAAAAATGTCGGTCCCATATCAAAGTTCGGGCGTTGGTTGTTGAAAAAGTTGGGGTTGAAGAGAACGCAATCAGACTGATGGTAAGCGTTCTGCATTCAGGAGTCGATTAAAATTGACGTACGCAGCACGTATCTCAAGAATCTTCTCGATTTCCACGGCGTCGAGAGGTGTGGCGCGTTCGAGTGATGCTGTAGGGTGCGGTTGAGCGTAGTGTTGAGTGAACGTCTGGTACACACCGAAAGTTCGACGTGAATATATATGTTGGTGCATCCAAGGACGATTCTGTATCTTTATAAGATTAGCCGTGCATGAAGAAGCTTTCATGACACACTTTCAGCCATTCGCGCGTCGACCCAGGGACTACAGAACGTTCGGGATGGAGCAGCACAAGCTCTTTGCGTGCTGTGGTCTTCATCGAAAGTAGCAACCTTTCGTACAGGTGAATCAGCGACATAAAGCACTGTTCTATATCTTTGCTCCTTGTCTGCAAGCCAAGCTGCAGCTTTGAGTGTGCCCATACGAGAGAATGCATGACGGCCAAGATGACTTGACACAGAGGCTTGGTTCATATACGATGTCTTGGCGCCCATCACTTCCAACGCAGTCTTCAGTTTCCGAGCAAAGGTGTCTATAGGGACATTTCGCGATACTGGAAGAATGGCCACAGTCTTCAAGTTAGTGTTGTTCCGTCCCAGTTCGAACGCAGCACAGGTGTCATTACGCACTGATACGTGAAACCAAAGTTAACTTCAGCATGCTTATCTTGCAAAAGGTCCGTTCGGCATTTTACATGGACAATATAGAAATGAAAACGCACTCGAGATGACGCCGACTTGAAGCTTTACGGGGTGACTGGCCCTTTTGGAATACGGCGTGGACCGGACTTGCTGTATGCTGCACTTATCTATCAGAGTTGCGGGTATCCGGAACTAGAGCAATATAA